TCATGCCCTGCCGTTTTGATCGGTCCTCTCTCTCGGTGGCGTGCTGAGACACAGACAGAAGAATTGCCCAGAGAATTTGTCTGCAGCCGTTCACTGATCACAGGCACCTACCTCCTTAAAAGGTTTGGTTAGGGAGCAACGTGTGTGCTTACAGGCACTGGAACCCCAGCAGCAGTACTTTTGGACTTACGCTCAGGGGCTCAGGGGCTCAGTTCTCCCATCTGTAATTAAGGAGGACGGGCTCGCAGGGCTGCATGGAAGGAACCAAGGGTGCAAATATAAAACTGCCTAGGGCAGAGGCCCGCGTGCAGAAGGAACTTGTCGCAATGGTAGCTGCTGTGACTGCTCTGTCGGAAATGTCTCCGTAGAAGATTTCTTCTTTTCGTTTGGTAACGTAGTCTTTGGATCTGAATAAGATGAACCCATGCTGCCACCTTTTACATTGAGAGAAACATTTTGAGTAATTGTAGGTGGTTACCATTGTGAGGCCCATTCTTCGTACCATTTTATAGCATTGCCGTTTATTTAGAAGACCCTTGGTGGCACAATGGGCAAGCATTCGGCTACTAACCCAGAGGTCAGTGGTTCAAAGCCACCAGCAGCTCCGCAGTCCACTCCTGTAAAAATCTCAGCCCTGACTTGGAAACTCTACAGGGCAGTCCCGCTGTGTCTTCCAGGGTCCTTTTCAGTGGGAATCCACTCAGTGCGTTTGTTTTTAGGTCCTGCATTTATTTATTTGTGACCCATCTTCCTGATTCTGAAGAAGGGAGGTATCCTTTTCAAAACTTTGGCTTGAGAAGAAGTTAATTTCCAAGGAAATGAAGGGAGATAGTTACGGACACAAAGGGAATCATTGTTCAAGTTAGAGCGAGCCTCTGGCTAAAGGAGATGCACTCTTGGGTCTGTATTGCAACGACTAGAACTGCTGGTCCGGGACCTGAATCGTGCGCTGTGCTAATTGATCACACCCCAGAGATCTGCGGCCTCCGTGCCGCTGTCACCATGGTGTGGGCCCTGCTTGGTCGTTGCCCCTTAGAGCCTGACTTCTGAGGCCCAGCAACTCCTATAAAGAGCCGGAAACCAACGTTATGAGTTGTATGTGTCTTCCCACTGTAGGCGACTCAGGCAAATTGGGCAAAAGAACCTGTAGTATATTACTTATTTTTCTCCCCTTTAGGATTTTAAACCATTGTACAAAACATTTAAAATGTTTTAGCCCAGTTTGGGTAATATTTAATTACATGTGGAGTACTTTCTGTTGGTTGGAATGGGAGCTATTAAAGTTTAATCCAACTACCAGTACTGGCTGCAGCATACTATCTATCCTAGCAAGTCTTAATAATTATAAAACATTTGGTATGTTTCCTTATCATCAAATTGTATAAGCATTTCTCAGAAAAAGCATTTCTGCCCCTGTTACTTGGATATTTGGGAGAAGGGGAGGCAGCCGTGACCAGAGGCCGGTTTCTGTGAGGTGAGCTCTGGAGACCGGTGCCGATGGGAACGGGCTTCTCACACCCTGAAAGGAGATGTAGGTCCCGCATGGGAACGCTGCTGCGGTTTTGTGGATTGAAATGTGTAGCTTGTTCTTGATGTCCACTTAATAGCGAGCAATTAATGTTACCTCATTCTGTTTTTTTTTTCCCTTTGGCTTTTTTTCTGGCAACCTTATACTTTATATATATAAATTATCTAATATATATATAAATTGATGATTTTATTGGGGGCTCTTACAAATCTTATAACACTCCTTCATTCAATTGTATCAAGCACACTTGTACATATGTTGCCAGCAACATTTCCAAAACATTTTTTTCTACTGGAGCCCCCCCTTATTTTTTTTTAAGTACAACTTATTTATTTTAAAAATCATTTTATTTGGGGGCTCTTACACCTCATCACAATCCATATATACATCCATTGTGTCAAGCGCATTTGTATATTTGTTGCCATCATCATTTTCAAAACATTTTCTTTCTACTTCAACCCTTGGTATCAGCTCTTCATTTTCCCCCTCCCTCACCCACCTGCCCTCCCTCATTAACCCTTGATAATTTATAAATTATTATTATTTTTTCATGTCTTAATGGACCAATGTCTCCCTTCGCCCACTTTTCTGTTGTCCATTCCCCTGGGAGAGGGTTATAGGTCGATCATTGTGATCGATTCCCCCTTTCTCCCCCCACCTTACCCTTACCCTCCTGGTATTGCTACACTCAATATCTGCCTTGAGAGTGTTAGCTGCCCTGGATTCCCTAGGTTTCCAGCTCTTAACTGTACTGGTGTACATGTTCTGGTCTAGCCAGATTTGTAAAGTAGAATTGGGGTCATGATATTGAGGGGGGGGGAGCATTAAAGAACTAGAGGAAAGTTGTATGTTTCAATGGTTACTTAAGCCCTTGGTATCAGCTCCTCTTTTTCCCCTCCCTCCCCTTGTGAATCCTTGATCAATTATATATTATTATTGTTATTTGTATCATACACTGTTGTCTATCTTCACTCACATTTCTATTATTTGTCCCCCGGGGTGGGGGGGGGCGCTATTCTGCCTCTTCTCCCCCCACCATCTCATCCGTACATTTTTAAGTACTTTAAACCTCTGAATTTTGGGCACATCTTAAACTTGTAAACATTTAAGTAAACAAGAAAAATAAATGTGTACAATTCTATAATGAAGGAGCTAAATAACTTAGAAATACATATAATTTACCAAAGCACGTTCATACCTTTTAAAAAAAAAAAATCACTGTAGGCTACCCTTGTTCAACATACTACCAAACAAACCACACCTCCCTGCCATGGGGTCACTTCCACCTCCGAGCGACGGGACAGGACAGAGTAGAACTGCCGCTGTGAGTTTCTGAAGCAGTAAATACATATCGGAGCGGAAAACCTCATCTTTCTCCCAGGGAGCGGTTCATGAGTTCAAACTACTAACCTTGCCCAACGCCTCCAGGGTCCCCTGTTCAACATTACACACTGAAGCTATTCTGAGCTTCATTTCAAGAGGATGAAGTAAAAGCCCAGGGTCAGAAAATGCTTTTAAGCAGCCATGTCCACTTGTCACCTGCCCTTTGTCATTGACATGTTCACAGGTAGATCTTCCGTATGACTTACTCTTCCATAGTTATTACTTTTTCAGGTATTTTTTGATAAAGGTTTGTCTGTTCTTTTATCGTGTTTTATACCCTCCATTCTCAGACAATTTTAGAACCCTTTCAAGCTATTCACCTGTGCCTGAAATTTGAGACATGAAAACATAGTCGTTGAGATGGGAGTGTGTGTCCCTCTCTCTCTCTTTTGGGCACCATGATGTACTGATTTTAAGATAGTAATTTTTACCAAAATTGAGCAATAGAAGCAGTCATGTAATTTTGTTTTCTTCTGAAGAACTTGACAGATCTCAATATGACAGTCTTAAGTGTTTCTTGTATAAAATGAAATTACAAGTAAATGTGCTTGAGCACCCAGGGTGGATAGGGAGATGCTTGCTTTTGGAGAAAGATGGTCATTATACCTAAAACTAGAAAACGGACTTCAGGGTTTTGTTTCCTTTGAGTTTTCTTGGTAAAAAACATTGTGGGTTAGTAGTGTGCGCTCTTATTTGTCCTTTATATTGTTTACATTACATTGCGCTTTTTGTCATACTTAAATCTTAGGGGCACACACCTTTCCAAGACACCTTTATCCTAAATAAGTTCTTGACTTTGGAGGGGTCACCCACCCCTTCATTGGGAGAAAGGGCAAAGACCGCCTTTATAGTGAGCACTTCTGACTGGTGTCTGAATTAAAGGTAGGAGACAACACAGCTGTACAACCTACGTAATTTATATGGGCTGTGCAATTGTTAATTAAATGCTAATGTCATTTTATGGGGTAATGTTTTAAAATTTCTTTTTAATTACACAATGACAAATTGTTGTTAGGTTGCTACTAAAACAAAAAATATAAATGAGACAATTTTCTGGCTACCATTTCTTTAATAATGCTCATTCTGCGTAAAAGTTAAGCTGCACTGTACAGTTAAAGAGTAATTCAGTGTTAAATATTATAAGAGGAAAACCCATCAACTGATTTCTAAATTGTCCTTGTTTATTTGACTTGGATTTTCACAGGCCAAGGAAAATTTGAAATAAGACTGAGGAAGAAGAGCCCCCAGGGTTCTGGCCTGTGGTAGGACAGTCGAAAGGAAGAAAGGAAACATTCTTGTTCAAGGATGCAGCTTTGCTTACGTTGTACAAACTTAATAGGGGACTCGATTTTAGGAGATGTTGTCAAACTCAGTGTACACATCGATAAACTTATTTCTAATAGTTTTAGCATCACTAATAAACTTGAAAGGCTTCTCCTGGTAATTCTCACTGCTTTTGTTATTCATCTACAAAGCCTTGACATTTGGTTATGATGTGGCAGGGAATTTTCGTACATTATCTGGTATGTTACCCCCATTTTACAGATTAAGAGACTGAGCCTTAAGAAAATCCATAGCTGACCCCTAGCTACATTACTAGTGAGCTGGCAGCGGAGAAATATCTTGATGCATTCAACGTTTCAGTATTTTTTTTAGATGTATGAGGAAAGTAGTTAATATTATTTGGACTCACTAGAATGACAGAAAAGCTTTAAATTCGTTTTTTAATGTTATTCTAACATGACAGGAAAGACATTCAGGCCTTCCCCTTTTTCCTCTCTACACATTTACCCACAGCTACTGCGTGGACGGGGAGCCGTCAGGACAGGCCCTCCATGTTCACGAGTTGAGGGTCAGGCAGGCGCAGGCCTCCAGAGACCCAGCACTAGGACCGGATGAGAGGGCTTCCAAAAGTCCATGGAAAAGTGGACTTGAAAGACAATGGGATTTTCTCACACACTTTTGGAAACAAGTCTCATAGAATGTTTTTTGAACTCCTTTGGGGTTGGTTTGGTTGGGTCATTGACAACGTAAATGAACCTGTGGAATTTCTTGACTGAGAATCTGCCCTGTTTTTCCCTTTTTCCAGGTCTATTATTAGCAGAAGATTTTTCTGCATAGTTGGCACGCTGTACCTGTATCGGTGTATTACAATGTATGTAACTACACTCCCAGTACCCGGTATGCATTTCAACTGTTCTCCGAAGGTAAACTATTCCTCACTGTGATTTCCCTTTTCCTTTGTTTCCCTTCTTGCCCTGGAAGCCTTTGATGAAAGCCCATGGTCAAAACTGCTTCAGCGCCTAGTCAAGACCTGCCTCTCTCGTCTGGGAGTGCTACCAAGCAGTAGAGCCAGGCTGCCACTGCCTTCTCAGCGGCTTCACGCCTGGCCCTGCCTCCCAGCTGAGGAAATACGGGGTCTTGTTCCTGTGTTGAAAGCAGTTTTGTGAGGAGGCGTGACTCTTTGGTTTCCTGCCAAACTTTTAAAACACCCCTTGCCCCTTTGAGACCGATCCAGAGCCTCTTACAGACTTTTTCTCCTCTCTTAGATGGAGAACTTAATTTCAAATAATATTTTTTCTCCACCCCCCCCCACTCTCTCTTTTAATTTTCTGCATAATAATCCATGATAGTAAAGTAAGAAAAGCTATATGTACCCCCTGATTCTCCCTCCTAAGTCCTCCTCTCCCACCACAACCACCAATCAAAGCTCACTTTTCTGGAAGCCTAGATCACTTTGTTCGATTATCTCTAGTAGCGTAGAAGCCTTTCTTTTAATACCTCTATTCCTGTCATTATCTCTACTGCCCAATGACAGCTGTCCGCTGTGTTCTGTTGGCACCCCCGGCACAACAGGATCGGGCCCCTTGGGATATAGAGGGTTTTCATTGTCTGCTTTTCTTTCCACCCTAACATTTCCTCAGCAGAATCCCAACTGCAGAGGTTACCGGAATTTTCTGAAGTTACTGGCAAAAGAGTACATTTCTGAGATGTTTAATGGCGTTGAATTTCTCTAACTATTTCTAAGAAGTAGAAGAGGCTAGTTTCCCTCCTTGCATGGTTTTGGTATGAGCAAATAGAGAGTAAGGTGGTGTGATGACATGCATATCAGGGCCACGTCCCTGTCCTCCGGGCTCACTGTGGAGACACCCAGTGTGCTGTCAGGCTTGCTGCTGGTGAGCTTTCAGTCTCACCTCTTTGTACTTTCTGTTCCTTCTAAAAGAGGCGGACACATTCCCTGGCCGGACCTTCCTGCAGGCCCCCCTTTGTCCTTAACTTCCCCCTGTGTTTATAGATGTAGTAGCTTCTTCCTGAAAACCATTTCCTTATTTCTGGAGAAATCATCTTACAGAGTGAATATTCCCAACAGGCCTCTCCTCTCTTGTCAGCAGTCTTACCTCCCTCTGTCGATAGAGCCTGTCTTATTCTTTCTGCAGCCCTTACAAGGAAGCCAGTCTTTAGTCTCTACAGAAACAGCCAACCAACCTTAAGCATTGTGCTCTCTGAGCCCGCAGCTCCTGGGTTCTGAGAAACATGTTGTTACCCTTGAGGGTCCCATGATGTGTTTGTTTGTTCTCTTTCTGGAAGACGGACCAGGCCAGCAGCTGCCTGGCCTATGGTAATGATGCTTTTGAACCCGTCCCCAGGAAGAGTGGGTGTGGAAGGAGGCAATGCTCATATGTAAAGCATCTGGTGACTGCACAGTGCTAGGTAAGATAAGAAGAGCATTTGCAGTCAGTGTTTTGCTTCAGCCTGAGACTCGTCTTCATCCAGTGAGTCTTTAGTTCTCCATCTATTCAGCCAACATACTTTGAGCCCCACCGTATCTTTGGCACAGAAGCCTCGGTGCCGTGGTGGTTCAAGCACACACAACTCTCAACCAGAGCGTTGGTGGTCTGAGCCCACCCGCCACTCCATGAAACAAAGATATGACAGTCTGCTTCCATGACGATTTCTGACTTGGGAACCAGCTCTGTTCTATACAATACAGGGCCCCTATGAGTCAGAGTCACCTCAGCAGCAAGGGGTGTGGTTTTCTTTGTTTGGGTATGTTTGGTGCTACGAGGACAATGTGTGGACAAGTAGATAGGATCCCTGCTCTGTGGAAAGTACCCTAATGTCCCGTCTAAACTGCTATCTGATGTAATAAAGGTGTGAAATGCTGAGTAGGCTCTGAAGGTAAGTTAGGAGAGGCTTTGGGATTGGAAAGGGGGAAGAAACCAATTTGAGCAATATGTCAAAGGCCAAATCATGCCGATTTGGCAATAAATTTAATGAAGGGAGTGAGGATAGAAGGAAAAAATTCCAAAAGCAACTAGTTTTACCACTGAGATAATTATAAGGTAGGGAGGAAAAGGAAATGAATGACTTAAAAAATGTTTTAAAGACAGTTTTACTGGCACAGAATTCACATATCCTACAATTCAATAGTTCAGTCCTATTAAGAAGAGTTGGACAACCATCACTGCAGTCAATTGTATAGCAGTTTCTTCTTTGTTATACACATTGTTATTGGAAGCTAGTGACATTAAACACACAGTTTGAAGTACCTGTAGGTATCCAAGTGGGGGGAATATAGAGTTAGAATACGGGTCAGAAGTTGAGGGAAACCGAGGCTGGGAAGGAAGTATTGATTTATCTTATTCTGCCCTGGTTTGAAGCCATGGATGGGGACCCACAGGTCTAGAGCCAGGGCATGTCAGGTAGCAGGCTTTTAAAATTGGCGTTCCTTGATGTCCTTCACCATTGAATGCTGTCACCTGTTAACCACTCAACTTCTAAACAAGATCATTAAACTTTAGAATCATAGGACTTTCTATTTTAACACAGTCGTGGACTTGACCTGGATTCCACCATCGCATTAATCCCATAATTAATACACCTAGGACGTCCCTGAATGCTTCCTGAAAATGCTTGGATCCTCAGGAAAAAAGAAATGTCCCAACAAGTATGCAGAAACAGTTATGACAATGTGCACTGTTGTTTATTCATAGGGTGCCATTGTACATACCCTTAGTTCACAGCACGTGCATCTCGGAGAAATACTCATTGTGCGGAGTAATTGGGAAGAAAGGTAGGCCTCCAGCCAGCAGTGAAGAGCCTCTGGGAGATGTGGGGAGGTAAATAGGTGTGCTGTGTTTCTGAATGAGGAATTTCTCTGCCCCAGTGCGTACATGTGCACTGCTTCCCTTTGGGGCTGCCACGCTACTGGTACCTTGATTAGGCCCTGCTGCTGCTTCTCTGCCATACGGAGTTGCTGTGCATCAGCACTGACTTGACAGCGCTCAGCAGCAAGCTGGCCTCTCCCGGGAAAGTCTGTGTTTCCTCCAGAAAGAAGCAGCCTGTTGTCATAATTGCTTTATGATTCCACTTAGAGAAAAGAAAAGCAGAACATTTGAGAGTTCTTGATGCTCTGCTCGCCCTGTGGCCAAGTGCTTGTCTGAAAACTTCAAGTTCACCCTGTAGCAAACTTCAAGAAAACTGCCCACCTGGGTCACCGGACACACAGATAAATAGCCTAGCACCAGTAAAACTGAATAAATAACTTACACTGTTCCCACTTATTTTAATAACAAGATGAGTTAACCTAATAGTGACTAAATATTGAAGTGAAATGCATGTTGGATTCTGTTTTGCAGTTACCACGGTTACCTTAGATTTGAAACCGTAGAAGATTCCAATATACCAAGGACACCTAGCTGGCTAATGCATTCCTCCGATGTGGTGTTTTCAGCCAAACAACTCTCTTGAATGTGAAAAATGTATTTGTTTGTTTGTTTGTTCTCAACACATGTGGCCCAGTGTTGGACAAGAGTGTGAGTCAGGTGGTATTTGAGGTTGGTTGCCGAGCAGAACATTAAAATACAAATGTCACCGCCAACAGCTCTCTGTGGGCTGTTGCCTATGTTAATGCTTGTGCCGCACATGGCTTAGAAAGTTCAGAGCGTCTCCTTTAACCAGCTGCCAGGTCCTGACGGGGTCATGATCAGCCCAAGAATTCCTTTTCCCGAACAAGTTCAGCTCCACGAGGCAAAAGACCTGTTGCTCTTTAGGATTTTCTAACCGGCTTTAACTCCTCCTTGTATTCTCAGGTAGCACGCAGCCCAAGTGGCCCAGGCTGTTGCCCATGCTGATATGTTGTCATCATTGTGATGTCAGACCATAGGCTGTGTTCATTCCCAGAATCGGGCCCTGACATCCTGTTGAATTGCGTGGAGCTTCCATTCTCTGTGCTTGACTTTAAGATCTGTATCTCCCCGTGGTGCTTGGCTCCCAGGTCTGTTGTCAAGCCTGATGATGTCCCTTGTCGTTCACTCCCCTTCCCCCACTTGCCTTCTTCAGGAAAATGTCCAGTTGCCTTTCCCTCGCCTGATGTCTTCTTCACTTTGCTTTCTCTCGGAGCTTGGCTCTTCCTTTTTAAGGGATTAATAATAACAGTGCATTAAATCATCTTTCCCTCTTGGGGGCGGGGGAAGATGGTTACTTTTTCCATTGTATAGAAAGTCCACATGCATCATAGGTACATAAAAAAAAGAGATTAAAAAAATAAAATCACTCCTAACCCTATCTACTGTTTGTATTTATATGCACTTATATGTATATGTATATATGTAGTCCATTGCTTATGCATATTTTGTTACCTGATTCTGATCATACTGCCTGTACCTCTCTCCACCTCAGATTTCTTATGCCACACCTTTTTACATGATTTTATAAACTCTGAACTTTCTAGATGGTTTTCTTACCAAGAGGAAAACACCAGAGAGGCACACACTCCCCAACTGTGGCAGAGTTTCTGATGATAAGCAAGCAGGCTGTCTATTTTCTGAACGAGTCTTTTCCAGAAAACCTGCCCTGCAGTTTGAGGCTGTAAAATGTATCCCCAGTGGTTGACCACAAGCCACAACAGATGCTGTTCATCCATTGGCTTACTCTCTGCTCCGCCGGTCCTCCCTGGGTTGGACGTGCTGCCCAGTTGCCATGGAAGCAGCGGCCGTGGCAAAGGCTGCTGGGGTGTGGGCTGCGTTGAGGCCGGGCACCTGAGCCATGTTTCTAAGACGAGTAGGAGTTTCCCGAGTAGAAATGGAGAGACGAAGGAGGTGCGCGCTGATGGGAACAGAAAGGCGGTGGCAGGACGTCTAGGGGCGGAGTAACAGAGTCAGCTATGCTGGGGGCCTAGGGGCCCAGGGGGACTGAGGGAATGACT